ATAGAACACAGTTTAAGTCATCTTGAATCTCTTTTGGAACAAGATGGAATAAATCTTAATCAGAACCTCCCTCAAAGCAGTTCTGACTGCAGAATTCTAAACTTGGAAGGGAAGCACCTGCCACAGCACTAAATACAAGTAGCAGTGTCTGCACACAGTAGGCCCTCAGGAAATGTCAATTAATTTGGTTTTTACATGACAGAATCTGCAAAGCCTCAAGAACAAGTAAGGTGTACTGAGTAATAACTACTTTGAAAGAAATAAATGACCAAAAGATTACTAACAGGAACAGATCAGAACAACAACAAAAGTGCCTGTAATTCCATGACTGAAAGAATTGAAATACATCTGCAAGTGGTAGTTTGTATAACTGAAACAACAGAAAAAAGAAAGCAGTGATGTTGACAATAAAATAAAACATCAAACCAGAAACAGAGACACAAAACAGAGATGCAAATGATTTGGAAAATGGGAAATGGTGTCACAGTCCTAAAACAGGAGAAAGAGAGGTGAGTGGGAAGAGGCATATGATGAGGGAAACATCTGGAAAGAAATAATACAAGAAAAGTTTCCAGAGGCAAAAAAGACAGCTCGGCCTAGAACTAAAGTACACACACTGTGCCTTTCGAGTTTGACTCTCAGGGAAATAAACATCAGAAAGAAATAAACATTTGCTAGTTAAATTTCTGAATGATAAATTATCTGGCAAGCTGAAGTGAAGGGAGATATGCTCTTTTGAAATTGGAATGACAAGAATGACATGAGAACTGGTATCACAAGAGTAAAGATGAACCTCGGGAAAAAATGTGCAATTCTAACCACACGTGTATTCTTACCACACATCAGTTATGTTCCTCAAGACTTGCTCTGTACAAGTAGGAGGAAACAAAGCCATTTAAAGATTGGGGAGAATCTGTGCACAATTATACTCTTTAAAAGCAAAGGAGAATGTCTGCCTTTTTACAGAAAGACAAAAGCTGATATAAAAGACACTGGAATGAGAATGGACCAACTGAAAAAAAAATAGTAAGTGATCTGACGAAATTTAGTCACTCCTAATAATGTACAAATCCTGCTCCAGCCCAGACTTCTCTGACTTCTGGATCTGAATATCCTGCTGCCACGTGGTCACACCCACGCAAATGTCCCTCAATACCATCACCCTGCTTTCCCCAACCTGACCCCTGGCCAGTGCATGACTTCAGTGCCCATACTATTGCCTGAATTGGAAACCTCTGAATTCACTCATGGTCCTTTTTCATGCTCCCCAGCAACCCCTTAATCCCATTCATTTGTAATAATTTGTGAGGGCTGCCGTAACAAAATATCACAGACTGGGTGGCGTAAACAAACGAAATTAACTTTTTTAACAGTTCTGGAGGCCAGAAGTCCAAGATCAAGGTTCTGACTGATTCGGTTTCTACAGAGGTCTCTCTTCCTGGCTTGCAACCCTCACATGGTCTTTCTTCGATGAATGTGGGAGGTGGTGGGAGCTCTCTGATGTCTTTCTTATAAGGACATTAATCCTATTGGATTGGGCCCCACCCGTATCACCTCATGTAATCTAAATTACTTCCATAAAGGCCCCATTTATATATACAGCCACACTGGGGGGATTAGGGTTTCAATATATGAATTAGCAAGAGTGTGGGGGCAGCTCCTTTTACCAGCCATCCCTAGTAGTTACTCTAGGGTACTTCTGCACCCCACTGCAAGGTCCCAACCAAATGCACAGACAGGCCATCTCAGCATGCCTGTCTAGCCATGCCTCTTCCCTTGCCTTGGTATTGGGGATCTAGGGGTAACTCCAGAGTTCAGTCAAGACCTTACCCCAAGGCCAGCAATGGCTCCTCACCCTCACCTCAAGAGGCTTCTGTCAACTCACCTGAGTCTCAGGTCTGCATGAAGTCTGACCCTGACACTCAGCTGGAGGGCTGTGTGACTCTATGTATGTTACCAAACCTCTCTGGGCTTAAACCTTGTTAAAGGTACCTGACCCTAGCATCACCATGTGGATAAGTAAAATCAACCTCCTGGGTGAGAGGCCCTTTGCAAACATTATTTCTGGACCTATTATCCTTATTTCAAGAAACTAGAAACAGGCTCGGAGAGACGCCTTGCTTGGAGCCACTACCTACTGGTCTAGGGAGCAGGTCTGTCTAACTCCATAGCTGGTTCTGCTGCCCAGGCTATGCCTCAAGACAGGTAGAGGCATCCAGGTACCGGCACCAAGCTCCATGCATCTGAGCATGTGGTCTCGCTTAGAGTTGCACGTCCATCAGGGTCATCCCAGGTGCTGGTCTGTGGTCTAGGGGCCTGTGGGCTTGAGGCTCACAGCGGACAAGCAGGCAGGCACGTGCTTAGGACCACTGCTGGCTCGGTGGACACTGCCTTGCTGTGCTGGGTAAACGGCCCACTTTCCATGCCCGCCCCCCCCGGCCAGCCCTGCCCCCTCCCACTGCCTATTTAAACAACAGGGCCAGACTCCACTGGTCCGGGACACCGCCAGCTTCCAGAGCTAGAAGAGCAGTGCTGCAGGCCTCGCTCACTCGGGATGAAAGGTCCTTCTGTTTCACCATTTCCTACCGGTGCGTGTTGAATGATGATGCTGAGCTGGGTTGTAGCGGGAGCTGATTCTGCTCGCCTGGGAGTGTATTGAGACGTGTAACTGGCAGAGGGAGGCTCTGATTGAATTTTCCCATTTCTAATCCCTGATTTGATGTGATCTTATTTTCAAAAGGGAGAAAGGCTGTAGTTTGTTAAAGGACAGAGGAAAGCATATTTCAAAACAAGGTCTGGCTCAGAATATCAATGATCTGACAAGTTTTTCTTTTCTTTTGAGAAAAGGAAAGGTCCTGTTATCTCAAGGTTGCAGAGATTCCATTTCCCCTCAGGAACCCCTCCCTAAATAGTTAGTTCCTGGACTTTAATTCTGTTTTGAAAAAACACACAGGGGATTTTCCAGAAGAGTTTGTTAGGAAGAGAGGCTATGCAGCTGAGGATAGTTTGGGGAATATCTGAGCACAAAGACCCTCCTTAGCAAATTTCTCATTGAGAGGTGAGGACTCTGGGAGAGGGAAGTGGGGGCTGAGAGCTGCACAGGCTGGGACAGCCCCAGAGATGCCTGCTTCTTTTATGGTCACTTTCAGATGCTTGCCAGCCTGTGGTCCAGGAGGCAGGTCAGCACACCAAGAGAGTGAAGGACAACTGTGAATACAGGTTGTCAGCTTACTGAGGGTGAGGAGGCAGGCGTCCCAGGCACAGGGGACTAGGCCTGCCCTGGAGGCTAGGACAGCAGGCCACCCTCTGACCTCTCAGCAGTTTGGACTCCCCAGGCTATGGGTGGGGAGGGATGCCTGCCAGAACCTTAACTCAGAGGAAATAAAGCATGGTGTCCCCATGGAAACAAGCCCCCTCAGGTACAGCATGTAGACCAAGGACCTACGGGCTCTGGCTTCCTTCTTCCCACTCTGATCTGTACTCATTTGGCCCTGGCCATGGCCATCCAAGACCCTGTAGTGACCCTCAGTGGTACAGGGGAGAGAGCATCTGAGGTTCAGAGGTTCAGTGACTTGCCCAAGACCTTTCAGCCGACTAGAACCCTTGTCTCACTGGAGCTTTTCTAGTGGATTCCTGATCAGGAGGGTGCCAACTGTTTCCCAAGTGAGGACACTCCTTCTCAACTCTTCCACAACATCTTTGGCTTCGGGACAGAGCCCTTGGGACTCAAATTTCAGATCATTCTGAAATGCTTAGTTTGGGTGATTTGCAAAATAAGTGTATATAGAGGACATGGGCTGGTCCAGATTGGCACTGGGGAGTAACGGTCACCCTGCGTGGAGTGTGAGGGTGGTAAAAAAAAGGGCTTTGGGCAGGCAGCAGAACTGGTTTGAGAAGGTGGAGGGCCGACGAGCTCGTCATGGGCTGCGCAGAGACGGGGTTGGGGGTGGGGGGCTGAACTTCCTGGACCTGAGTCCAGGGGGCGGGGCCAAGCCCGGAGGATTCGGCTGCAAAGTCGGGGGTGGGTCTGGGGACTGGAAGGCGGGACTAAAGAGCAGGACTTTGTCTGAGGCCAGGCGAAGTGGCCAAAGAGCTGCCTGGGGCCAGGTTTCAGGAGGCGGGGCCCGGCAGTGACTGAGGCCCAGGGACCCGGACCAGAAATCGGAGGCGGGTCCAGCACCTGAGGCCGGGGGCGGGGCTAGAAGGGCGGGGCCAGAGAGAGACCGGACCTAAGACCCCCGGCAGGAGAGTGAGTGTCTGGGCCAGCGGATCCTGGGACTGGGTTAGAAAGGAATGTGGGGAACCGGTGCCTTGTTGTCCAAAGATCACCGCTCACACGGGTGTCCTCCCAAACCTCCCCTCCGAAGACCCCACCGAGTTCACGAAGTGTCCCCGCTCAGTCTCCCCTCGCCGATCTGTCTATCCCTACTCCTTATCTGCAGCAAAATCCCTCAGTTCTTCCTCTCAACGCGGCTTCCTCCCCGCACCTCACCCCCGTCTTGGTAGCCACTGGCCCTCTTTCCGGGTCTGGGTTCAGCTCTCCCCCACCCCCAGGTACCTTTGTAAGGCTGAGATCACACAAAGCTCCTGGAGAGCTCCGATTGTTCTAGCTTCGCCTATCAGATCAAACCCAGGCCCCGCTGCTGGAGCTCTGAATTCGCTTCTCTCCGCCCCCGACCCCGCACTTCTCCGGCCTGGCCTGGGTCCAGGGGTCCACATGGAAGCCTCATGCCTCCCACCCGCGGAGTCCTCCCCACCTGTCAATCCTCCTACTCCTCGGGCTTCTCTAGATTTGTCGCACAAACCTCCGCCCCCACCCCCTCTGGCTGAGCTTCGTGGGGACAGCCGGGCCCACCCCCTCTCCTTGGCGACGTCGAGGGTGTGGCAGTGCCTCCAGCGCAGGTGGGGCCCTTTGGTCTTTGTACCTGGCTCACCTGCACTGAGCTGCTCAGGGGCTGTGGAGTTCCATACACCTCTGTGAACCGCTCATTTCCTTTCAGGTCCTTGACTCTGCATTGTGTGCTCCCTCTTCAGACGGAACAAGAAGGTCCCAGCGACCCCTCCTCAGGTAGGACAGGGACTTCTGGGAAGGGGGGGGGGGTTCCAGGCTTCTCCTCATAGGCTGTCTATTAATGTTTTATATAAAGAGGTGCTGGGTGAGATAGTTTGAGAAAAGGTTCTGCTGCTTGATTAATAAGTTTGAAAACACAACTCTGGGGTAATAAATCTGGGGCAGGCAGTTTAGTCCTATTCCGAGCCCGCCCTAATGTAGTTCAATGCCAGCGTAGGGGGGTATGTCTGACACACCCAAATCCATGGAGAAAATACAAACTCCTTCAAAAAAGGAGGAAAAGGATTGAAGTAGCAAGTCTCAAAAAATGGAATATAATTTAGATATCTTGGAAAATATAATCAGATATCATTACCCATTAAACTATTATAAATTTTTATTTTTAATGCTAAATCCCAGAGCTGGTAATGCTGCTATGAAACAGGCATTCTGTTTTTTGGTTTGGTTTTTTTTTCAATGAGGAGGAGGTACTGGGGAGTGAACCCAGGACCTCATGCATGCTAAGCACGTGCTCTACCACTTGAGCTATACCCTCCACCTGAAACAAGCACTCTCAAACAACCTTGGTGGAAAAGCAGTTTGGCAACATGATCAGAAGCTTTAAAGTTTACCTCATAATTCCTAATCTTGAATCCATCCCCAAAAGACTAATTCAAACTACTGGAATAAAAGTAGAAACCAGAAACACAATGATTCCCCTGACAGCTGAGAACCTCAGTCCAGGAGCCAGGACAGCAAGACCATTCTAAGAAACTGCCCCCTCCCAAATATTGGCAAATTAAATGTTTTCATGGTTTCTGGGGAGGTCACCAAGCTGGAGGTAGGGAGATTTGGGGATCCTAGGTGATGGTGACTGGATGGAAAAACAAAAGAGAAAAGAGGAGCTGGATGAGGCCAGCAGTCCACAGGGAGGGAGGGAGACTACTGGGGTCTTCACAAGGGCACCATGGGAGTGGGTGACAAATGTAACTTTCAGGGACTGGAAAGAAAGGGTGAGGATCTTGTTTTGTGGAAAATGAGGGGCAAGAACAAGCAGGACAAGGGGGATAGTGTGGGGAACTTGTCCTGGAGGTAGGGGGGCTTGGTGCTGGATAGTGCTCATTTCAATGTTTTGAATATATTTGCATAGCACTTGTAATCAACCTAGGTGAGAAAGGTAGAGAGGAAAGGAAGATTGGGTTCCGGTGACAGTGCCACATCTCTCAAGGACTGTCCTGTACTTTTCTGAATCTCAGTTTTCTCATCTGTAAATGGGGCCAACAGTAGCTGCTTGGGGTGGCTGTACAGTGTAAATGCACCATCGATGTCAAGAGCACATTCTATGAGGTGTGTGCTGTGCAACATCTGCTCAGATGTCCCAAGAGGTGGATCTGTTAGTTGTGTCTTTCTGAGGCTCATTTCTAGTGTCCCTCATGTCTTTGCCACAAACTGGCTCTTAGCTGAGCCCCACCTCACAGAGAGAGTGGAAGGGAGGGAGGAAATGAGTTTGAGGTTCTGAGCCGGCCGCAGTGGTCCCAGATGAGCTGGATTGCTGAAGCTGCCCTAGCTGGACTCCAGGTCTGCAGGGGGCAGGGCTGACACTTGTCAGTCAGTCTTTAGGGGTTCCTATTATCTGCCTACCATGTTCAACACACAGGTAGGGCCAGATGATGGGATAAAATACTGAGTACCTGCAAAAGAAAAACAGAACCCACATGCCCCCCCCCCAGGACTGGAGGTTGAAGAGGGTAAGTGAGTTTCAAGGCTGCTGGTGTCAGCCAGGTGGGCAGGACCTTTGTTCCTGCAGACACCCCATAGGGCCACACACATGAGGTCCTCCCTCGCTTTGTTTTGAGGGATGGGCCAACTTTGCTCAAGCCTCCTCTCTCTCAGTTCTGTGTCTAGCATAGTAAATCTGAAAGTGTGGGAGTTTGGTCATCTTTCTGGTGTGGAGACTGCAAATGTGCAATTAATGCATAGAAACTGCCAGCTCTCAAGAGAGTAATGGCCCATGTGAGCTGGGTCAAAGGTCTCTAGTTACCCCTGGGGCCACAGAGAGGGGACTGGCTGAGGTTTGAAGAGACCATCACTGTGACTTTCATACCCTGAGCACCTCTGCTGAGGCCTCATCCCTTCACACAGATGAGGAAACAACCTCAGGAAAGGCATGGAGGGCTAGAAGGGGGTGGTTGGGAACTGTGCAGGTCAAGGGCCCCTGGGACTCCAACAGTAGGAGGCGACACAGAGCTATCAGGCTCTTGGGCCTTGCCTCCCCTTTCCTGTCCTTCCCTACCAGGTGCATCTTCTTGGGGTCAGCAAGGGCACTGAAGAGTTTGGCAGGGGAGCAATGTGGTCCGATGTGTAGTTTAGAAAGATGCCAGCAGCTACCATGTGGACAAGAGGAGGGGAGGCCAGTTGCAGGGAGACCAGATGATGGCTGTTGCAGTGCCTAGGTGACAGAGGGCGAGGTTTGAACTAGGCATGGCCATGGGAATGGATGCAGAGGGTTAGGGAGGCAGAACCCTCGGCTGGTGAGAGGAAATGGGGTATGGAAGAGGTCCAGGGTCCGAGGAGAACACAGGAGACAGAGCTGGTATTAGAGAAGTAGAGGAAGAGGAATGATAAACTTTTAGGAGAAAGTGGAGAGCTGTCAGTTCAATTCATGAGGTCAGAGATCAGGAGAGACACCTGGGCTAGCTATCACCTGGGAACAGGTGAACCATGAAAGATCAATCAAGAGAAGAGGCAGGGGAAGGTCTGGCTCCTCGGGGGCGGGCCAGAGAAGAGGGGACAAGGGGCTCTGAGAAATAGCAAGCAATCCAAAGATAGGAAGGGAACAAGAAGGATGGTCGCCCAGGACCATGGGGCAGAGAGCTGAGGGACAGATGAGGATCAAGCAGCTTAAGACTCCTGCTGAGCCTCTTTCTCAAAGCAAATCTGGTTGAAACTGCATAGACTGTTTTCTCATTGGTGCTTACCTCTGTTCTGGAGATTTTCTTTCCAAAACTTTACCAGAAAGTCTGGTGAGACACCCTGTCCACCTTCTGCCTGGCAGTGGGGGTGGTGCAGGTAGCTTCAAGCTGGGTGGCTGCCCAGACCCTCAGCCAGCCAGAGGGTCAGCCCTCGCAGAATGCAGCCAGCACAGGCGAGCTCTTATTACTCTGAGACTCTGGGCTAGTCTGGTCTGCGTGGTGGACGTGGGATGCTAAGTGGACATTCTAGGTATTTAAGTTAAGCAAACCCAACTAGGGATGAACTCTAACTGAATGCACTGGATCCTCCTCTCAGGCCCATTTTCCACAGCTGCTCCTCCCCCGGTGTCTCCTCCTGTGGCAGTCACTGTGGCAATCAAAGGCACAGCCTAGCCCGCAGGATTTCCTGAGTGAATCTGCCTCCCTAGTGCCTAACCTCAGCTCTCTCTGATGCCCCACCTCACCTCCCTCCCTTGCTCACTGCTTGCTCCACCTGCCACCCACCACTCTTCTGTCTCCATACCCTCTAGGAGGACACCCCCACATTCAAATATACACACCTAGAAAGCAAGTTTCTGCCTCTGGAAATTCTTGGGCCCTCGCTGTGAAATACCCCGAGCAGTCTCAGTGCTGCATCTGACTTACAGAGAATGGATGCCAGGCACCCCCAGCCTCCCAGCTTGACATCTGCTGCCCTGCCCCTGGCCCTGGCCCTGCCCCTGACCAGCCCTGGCAGGCACCCATCAGCCAGCACAGCCTGGCAGAGCCTGACCACGCCTGGCCTCTTGGCTCTGACCCCTGAGCATCAAGCACAGGCTGTTCACTACACCTCAACCTGCAGTCCACCTCAGTGGACCCTCAAGTCTCCCTCCTCCCATCCCCTGCAGGCCCTGCTTGACCCCTGGAACCAACCCCATACACCAATCCCTGGCGGAAGTTTCCAGTGGATTTACTTCCCCATGTCTATGGAGTTACCTTGCTACCTATATCACCAGCCACAGCCTCTTGTCTAAGCAGAAAGTGTTTCTACTAAAAATTAAAGGTTTAAGGCTCAGCTCCCTGATGCCTCAGACTCCTGAGGACCACAGGTACAAAGCAGGAATCAATCTTTCAGTCCATACATTGAGGGCATAGGAAAGAGTTAGTGACTCATCTGGTTTGGATTCAGGGCAGAGGAGCACCATTATTATCATTTAAAGTGAAGATCTTTTTGAAGAGAGTCTGTTCTGGACAGTAGATCTCTCCATATTCCTGGGAAACCGAGGGCTGTCAATCAGGAAGGTTTGTTTTCAGTAAATGGGCTGATTAAATGCCAAATCAGAAGCCTTCTTCTATTAGTCTGGATAGGATGGGTTACTACATGTGGGTTAGCTGGAGCCCTGCTCCATGTCTGTTCAGCCGGGGACCCAGGTCAATGTGGCAGAAGAAGAAAACTTTAGAAGGTCTCACATCTGCTGTTAAGTACTCTGGCCCAGCAGTGACACACATCATTCACTCACAGCTCATGGGCCAGAGTTGGCCACACGATCCTACCCAACTGGAAGGAGACTGGGAGGTACAATCCTGCCTCATGCCTAGAAAGCATGCTCCTGTTGCTCTCGGGGCCAGAGGAAGTGAGGCAAGAGTCCTGTCCCAGGCTTGGAGGCAGATGTGGACACAAAGGGAAGAAAAGACTACCCGGATCTTCATGAAGGCAAAGCATGCTTATCTTTTAAGTTAGTCACTCCTGAATAAAGAAGTGTCATGGTCTATACTAGCATGTCTACATCTGCAATCTGGGACATGTGATCTCCATGACCAGAGCCAAGAGGTCTTGTCCCCCTTTTCAGAAATGTAGGATTCAACAGCCAAAAGCAGGTGTAGACAATGCACCACTACCAGAGGACCAGGGGTTAATTGGAACCCAGAGCCTCAGAAGACAGGTTTGGAAGGCAGGTTTGGTAGCAGCAATTAGAGGGAACTTAGGGGGCTGTAGACCCCCATGATGTCTTCCTACTGGTCTTTGCTGAGGATGAATGACTAATTCGCAATCGTATGCAAATGAAG